GGGTATCAGTAATCAAATTTCACAAAGCGAATCCGAAAACCAACACTTTCCAACCCTATCCTATGCTGCCCCAACCACAAACAGTCATGGTACGAAATTCCGATAGATTCATGCTTTTGTATAACTGTATACGGCCGCTTCTTTTGGGTACATCAGGTGCGAAACCTGTTGAACCACATTGTCATTTCGGTTTGTCCTATCTAGTGTTCAAGGACGTACTGCGATTACCAAAAAATTCGCAGCCACTATTGATCAGAGCTTGTCACCTAATGGGCGACGCAGCGGATATCTGTTTTATGCTGTTTGTTTCTGACGTCAAGCAGCCAGCTGTTCCCGACTATGGTTTGATCCCGTAAAATTTCCGGAGGAAAGAGCTGTTGGAAGATCACCAACTGGGAAAGTAGATTTCCGCTCTGTTCAGGTAAATGTAGGCGGCCTTGTGTTACGAATGATCCACGGAGCACCGTAAATGGTAGTTTTAGTTACCTGTCAGTTGGTGTAAGTTGGACGTTGATTTTTTATTTTCGCCTAACTTCCGTGATATCCGTCCCAACCTAGACGGCGCGGTGCATTTACGATTGTTCCTGTTGTCGTTGGATCGTTGTCCCCCGCCCGGGAAGCCGTGTACGGAAGAATCCTTGCGCCCTATTTGCTGAACCCAGAGAATTTGTTTGTGATCTCTTCTGACTTTTGCCACTGGGGTGAGCCTACACTTACGTTTGAATTTGTCCGTTCTCTGTCACTGTTATTTGCCAAAATATTTTCTAACCGGATTTGAAACGTGCATTCCCTTTTTTGATAGTGCCAGCGGCACTTCAGTGTCTCCGTGGAATCGCTTTGACTTGGAGCAACAGCTGCCTGACTCTACCCTGGTTATGCCACCGAAGCCACATAACAGAACCACACTCAAACGTTATTTAGCAAGCATTAACTGATACTCTCTTTTAGGACTAGGTTCTCATTACAATGGGAGTATCGCAATACCTAACTATCACTTTCATATCAAGGGCTGGTATACCTTTCCTTGGATGGTGATCAAAGTTACGGTTACCTGTAGATACGGGGATGCTGAAATGGATGGTAGTCTTTGAACGGAAGGACATTGGGCTGAGCAAGCAAAATCGTGGTTGCAGACGCGTTACGAATTCCGACAGCAGGAAGTTCTGTGCGCGGAAGCGAGCTAAAAAATCGGGACTTTTATGTACCGTGATATTTGAATGAAGCCCTACGACAATCAACGAAGCAAACACAAGGCAGGTTAACTGTTAACTGTTAATCGGGCGCAGACAGTTTTCGTATTTCTTTAGCATAGAAAGAATCGGATAACGATACGTTATCTGGTTCCTGACTTGAGTTCAATGGATGGTAAAGGCTTTACATGGCAGTAGCAATCCGGCCGCAAGAATCCCATCAGGTTCTTTCACATCCGATCGCTCCCTGAGTACTGATCGGTTTCTTTTACAAAACCATTGCCGTTTTGAATATTTTATCATCATGATGATTTCATTACTGACACTTGTAGGACGTCGCTTCCAGTATACACATTATGACCAACAGAAAGGAGCAATATGGCAATCAATACAGGCCCTGGATGAGGAAGTGAGTTGTTAGCATCATTCTTCATATGTATGCTCTAGTTTGAGTGTTTGCTTTGGAACAGTCGTCAACCAAATGATGTTTTCGACATGGAGACGAAATAGGCACCCCTCCCAAGTGAGGACTTCTACTGGGAGGCGCAGGATTTTAGCTTTTTTCCCGCAACCGCATTTCCCTGCATCGATAACATAAAAGTTAGTCAGGGGATCTTCAATAGAAACTGGCACATCCCATGGAGCACAAGGTGAGAATTTCACCATGCCCATGGGTTTTAATAAGGGTTCTCAACCTAATTTTAATGCTGGTGTTAAACAGGTTTGTTTGTCCTCTGCTTTTGGCATCCTGATGAGGACACACCTGGCCCTAAGTAACCATAACCCCCACGGTTGGAGTCCAAACTAACCAATGAATGCACGGTTTGTATGAACAGATACGCACCTTTTACTCATCTCCAACCCCGTCCGGTCGGAGGTCTAAATATAAAAATACCAATTAACGGATTTTTAACAGGCGTCTTGGATCGTTCAGCTGTAGCACCCTTTCGGTGCATAGCTGCCATGCCACACGAAAGAGGCACGATGGCTAGGATACTACCAGGTTGGACAAGCCTAGACAGGGGAATCATCATCATCATCGTCATCAAGGACAGCTACATCAGTGTTGCCACTGATGCTTCACTGCCGTACAACCATAAGGTTTGTCTAGTTATATATATATAT